ATATTATTCCTAATAAAAGCGCTCAGTGCTTCTAATGAAAAACAAAGCAACGGAAATCGAAGTATTACAGAATTCTTCCTGTGACATTGCAACTCTCCGCCGGAGCAGCAGGCCCAGCTTCTGCAAGAGGGAGAGACGTGCGCTCGCTCACACACACATCGTTACCGGGTTTTATTACACAATTTTGATGGCGACATATTATTTTGAGATCATCTTCATAAATTTTGCATTAAGGTAGCTGTGCCAGTACCTGGAATTGATTCAAAATGCTTAAGACACTCAATTACTTTTTAACACTGTTACCCGATGTAATGACATATCTGCTATTTCCCTTGCATTTGATGATGCAACATCATTGTAATTGATTCATTTTCTCAATTAAATAAAGCTACTGTGCTTTCCTCTATGCGAATGCCACAGAGACTCCCCCATTAGATATATTACCTATTTTCTCTGTCTCAGATATATTGCTTGTAAGGCTGCACTGTGCTCCTCTGTTAACTCCACTAGAAAATGCAATGTTACAGTCGTATTTTTCAAGTTCTGAACAGCAATGAACTTAGCTGTATTTATATTAGGCATATTTTTCACTGTTAAAACTATATTGTTTACCTTTTCCAAGATCACATTATTGGGCAGCCTCTGCAACTATAAACCAAACCTAACTGACGACAACTTTACAGTCAGTGCTTCTCCTTTTGCACACAGTTCATGAAAAAGTGAAGCATCCAGTTTTATAGCACATTAAGAACAGTTTTAGAAGTACTCAACATAAAATGTTTTTATCTTCCCGTTCACCCACGCTCCTTTTTTTCCTCCCCTAACTGTCTGGTTTTCGTGCACTACTGGGAGACGAGAAGTTTAGGAGGCAGGTTCATCTCAAGGGATCCAAGTGCAGTGGCTGCAGCTCAAAAGCTTGAGGACGTGGCGTGTCGCATCCCCTGTGTGATGCTCAGAGAACTCGGGGATCGGGAAGGAGACTGTCACTGTCATGTTTTTGTACTTTCCATAAAGAATTTCTAATAGTGAAATGGTAGCAGCGACCTGGGAGACAAGAAGTTTAGGAGGCAGGTTCATCAAGGGATCCAAGTGCAGTGGCTGCAGCTCAAAAGCTTGAGGACGTGGCGTGTCGCATCCCCTGTGTGATGCTCAGAGAACTCGGGGATCGGGAAGGAGACTATTGCTGTCATGTTTTTGTACTTTCCATAAAGAATTTCTAATAGTGAAATGGTAGCAGCGACACAACTGAAAACCCTGCTTGAAAGGAAGACCAAAAAGGCACAGTGTGCATTTGAAGAGTATTGAAGAGCGCTTAGATGCGTTCGTAAAAACATCATTCTCATCTTGGAAACGACCACCAACATGCTTCCTCAGCCACGCCAGAAGAATGTGTGTAAGCCCCTGACCCGCTCATTGCTGGAAAACCCAGCTGGCCAGAAGGTTTTGCAAGCTTTTCATACGCAACTGAAATTGTGTGAATTTGCAGAATTAGATCACCTATTTGATATTTTTTAACCTGTATTGTCTTTGCTGTGTTTTTACTTACTGCACGTGATAGTTTATAATTTGAAGAAGCAGGGCAAATGATAAATAAATCTGTCACATTAACAGTCTATTTCTCAGGTCATGAAATATCAGTGGTATCTGGATAAACTACTCCATAAAGCACATTCCCCAAATGGAATTTTTTTTTAGGTTGGTTAAAAACGCAAAAGTTTCCCTCCTGCTTCATCTACTATTTAATGAATGCCTCTGGTTATGAAAAGCAACTTTTGACAGACCATCAGGTTATATTTCTGTCTCCATGGAGATACTTTGGACGGGAAGTGGCTGAGAAGACCTCTACCATCCCTTTCACATTATATTCACAAGCACAATCAATGAAACTCAAATGAATCCACCCCGGGTAACTTAGAGGAGTCACTAGCTATAGCTTTAATTTTCGCTTTTACTCTCTGGAATTAGGACTTGCCCTGGAGCTCTTGTTTGAGAGATTTGCAGGTGACCCAGGGTTAGATCTTCCCATATCAGTTAACAAATTTTCTCTTTACATATATACTGCTTTTCAAGCTAGTGATATTTTTTTTTTAATAGAAAAATACATATACCAACAAATCATACAGTTATGATTTTTAAGGGAGGCTTCACAGTAGAACATTTATTTTCCTAATCCAGGAAACTGTGGATTTTAAAAGTACGTATAACTTATTCTTAATCTTTACGAATGAGGGTTAAGTTTTATTGAACAGCAGAAACGACAAACATTATCTCCTATTGACAAATGACCAACACAGACTTGCTTTGTCTCTGCCCTGATATAAATGGAAAAGGAATATGTAAGCGTACTGCATTTCCACATGGTCTTCACCACCATGGGTTTTACTCTTCCTCTGGAATGAAAGCATGATCTTCAGACATATTTTACAAAGGCTTGCAAAACTGGATGGTTATGCTTCTGAAAGAAGTCAAAGCACCAAAGCCGGTAAGACTGACCCCACTAATTTGTTCCTGACATTCTGAACACCCTCCCCATCCCCATCGGTGGATTTTGCAAAAGGCAAACGTCAATCACTGCCACAAAACAGAGGACAAAAAAAAAGGATAAAAATAATTTCAAAATTAAAAAAAGACAATTCACAACAACCTTAATATTAAATATATTCTTACAATTATATTGTGCTGGTTTTCCCAGAGGTCTACAAACAAATTTATATACAGAGATTATTTCATCCACCATTGAACTGCAGCCACTTCTCAAAGAAATCTGTTTACCAGAGTTTAGTAACACAATTCAACAAAGTGGGCATGAAAAACTACACACTGTTGAAATTATGGAGGGAGTGTAAGAAGCCAACAACTGCTACACTGGAGTAGG